GGGCTGGTGGTGTGTGATGTGGGACGGTGGAGGTGGTGTGGAAGGAGCTGGTGGTGTATGGTGTGGAAGGGGGAAGGTGGAATGCCCCGTTTTTCCCCCTTCGTTCTCCTAGTGACGGTCGTGATAAGTTCACTTTACCTGGTTGATACCTTCTTAATGGGGATCTAAAAGTTCTTCTACTCCCCAAGCCCGGCCGGAGGCCAGGCTTGACTTGTGAGAGTTTAGTCCACCAGGCTGTTGTTGCTTGGAGCGGTATGGTTGCTGGGGAATTCAGCTTGTAGATAGCAAGTCAGTCTTGTCGAAAGCTTTGTAGTGGGCATACCAATAGAGGTAGATCAAAGGTGCATCGTTATTTGGGGCATGTTCAGTGATACACGACCTTTGCGTTTTGGAGAGGATTGTGTTGTTTACTGTGGTTGTCTTGAGTGTTAAATTAGTAGTAATTTTTAATTTGGTAGTAAATAATGAAGTCCAGTTTATGGTCTGGAACCGTCGGTTTTACTAGGGTCAACACCAGAGTTCACTAGCACCAGGGTCAACACCAGAGTTCACTAGCACCAGGGTCAACACCAGAGGTCACTAGCACCAGGGTCAACACCAGAGGTCACTAGCACCAGGGTCAACACCAGAGGTCACTAGCACCAGGGTCAACACCAGAGTTCACTAGCACCAGGGTCAACACCAGAGGTCACTAGCACCAGGGTCAACACCAGAGGTCACTAGCACCAGGGTCAACACCAGAGGTCACTAGCACCAGGGTCAACACCAGAGTTCACTAGCACCAGGGTCAACACCAGAGGTCACTAGCACCAGGGTCAACACCAGAGTTCACTAGCACCAGGGTCAACACCAGAGTTCACTAGCACCAGGGTCAACACCAGAGTTCACTAGCACCAGGGTCAACACCAGAGTTCACTAGCACCAGGGTCAACACCAGAGTTCACTAGCACCAGGGTCAACACCAGAGTTCACTAGCACCAGGGTCAACACCAGAGTTCACTAGCACCAGGGTCAACACCAGAGTTCACTAGCACCAGGGTCAACACCAGAGGTCACTAGCACCAGGGTCAACACCAGAGGTCACTAGCACCAGGGTCAACACCAGAGGTCACTAGCACCAGGGTCAACACCAGAGGTCACTAGCACCAGGGTCAACACCAGAGGTCACTAGCACCAGGGTCAACACCAGAGGTCACTAGCACCAGGGTCAACACAAGAGGTCACTAGCACCAGGGTCAACACCAGAGGTCACTAGCACCAGGGTCAACACAAGAGGTCACTAGCACCAGGGTCAACACAAGAGGTCACCATCACCAGGGGTCAACACAAGAGGTCACTAGCACCAGGGTCAACACAAGAGGACACAAGCACCAGGGTCAACACAAGAGGACACCAGCACCAGGGTCAACACCAGAGGTCACTAGCACCAGGGTCAACACAAGAGGACACTAGCACCAGGGTCAACACCAGAGTTCACTAGCACCAGGGTCAACACAAGAGGACACTAGCACCAGGGTCAACACCAGAGGTCACTAGCACCAGGGTCAACACAAGAGGACACCAGCACCAGGGTCAACACCAGAGGTCACTAGCACCAGGGTCAACACAAGAGGACACTAGCACCAGGGTCAACACCAGAGTTCACTAGCACCAGGGTCAACACAAGAGGACACTAGCACCAGGGTCAACACAAGAGGTCACCAGCACCAGGGTCAACACAAGAGGACACCAGCACCAGGGTCAACACAAGAGGACACCAGCACCAGGGTCAACACAAGAGGTCACCAGCACCAGGGGTCAACACAAGAGGACACTAGCACCAGGGTCAACACCAGAGTTCACTAGCACCAGGGTCAACACAAGAGGACACTAGCACCAGGGTCAACACCAGAGGTCACTAGCACCAGGGTCAACACAAGAGGACACCAGCACCAGGGTCAACACAAGAGGTCACCAGCACCAGGGGTCAACACAAGAGGTCACTAGCACCAGGGTCAACACCAGAGTTCACTAGCACCAGGGTCAACACCAGAGTTCACTAGCACCAGGGTCAACACCAGAGGTCACTAGCACCAGGGTCAACACCAGAGGTCACTAGCACCAGGGTCAACACCAGAGGTCACTAGCACCAGGGTCAACACCAGAGGTCACTAGCACCAGGGTCAACACCAGAGTTCACTAGCACCAGGGTCAACACAAGAGGTCACTAGCACCAGGGTCAACACCAGAGGTCACTAGCACCAGGGTCAACACAAGAGGTCACTAGCACCAGGGTCAACACAAGAGGTCACCAGCACCAGGGTCAACACAAGAGGTCACCAGCACCAGGGTCAACACAAGAGGTCACTAGCACCAGGGTCAACACAAGAGGTCACTAGCACCAGGGTCAACACAAGAGGTCACTAGCACCAGGGATCAACACAAGAGGTCACTAGCACCAGGGTCAACACAAGAGGTCACCAGCACCAGGGGTCAACACCAGAGTTCACTAGCACCAGGGTCAACACCAGAGGTCACTAGCACCAGGGTCAACACCAGAGTTCACTAGCACCAGGGTCAACACAAGAGGACACCAGCACCAGGGTCAACACAAGAGGTCACCACCAGCACCAGGGTCAACACAAGAGGTCAACACAAGAGCACCAGGGTCAACACAAGAGGTCACTAGCACCAGGGTCAACACAAGAGGTCACTAGCACCAGGGTCAACACAAGAGGTCACTAGCACCAGGGTCAACACAAGAGGACACTCGCACCAGGGTCAACACAAGAGGTCACTAGCACCAGGGTCAACACAAGAGGTCACTAGCACCAGGGTCAACACAAGAGGTCACTAGCACCAGGGTCAACACAAGAGGTCACCAGCACCAGTTTCAACACAAGGGGTCACTAGCACCAGGGTCTACACAAGAGGTCACCATCACCAGGGTCAACACAAGAGGTCACTAGCACCAGGGTCAACACAAGAGGTCACTGGGGTCAACACAGGGTCAACACCAAACACCAGAGGTCACCAGCACCAGGGTCAACACCAGTCAACACACCAGAACACCAGTCACTAGCACCAGGGTCAACACAAGAGGTCACTAGCACACAGGGTCAACACAAGAGGTCACTAGCACCAGGGTCAACACAAGAGGTCACTAGCACCAGGGTCAACACAAGAGGTCACCAGCACCAGGGTCAACACAAGAGGTCACTAGCACCAGGGTCAACACAAGAGGTCACCAACACCAGGGTCAACACAAGAGGTCACCAGCACCAGGGGGTCAACACAAGAGGTCACTAGCACCAGGGTCAACACAAGAGGTCACTAGCACCAGGGTCAACACCAGAGGTCACTAGCACCAGGGTCAACACAAGAGGTCACTAGCACCAGGGTCAACACAAGAGGTCACTAGCACCAGGGGTCAACACAAGAGGTCACTAGCACCAGGGTCAACACAAGAGGTCACCAGCACCAGGGTCAACACAAGAGGACACCAGCACCAGGGTCAACACAAGAGGTCACCAGCACCAGGGTCAACACAAGAGGTCACCAGCACCAGGGGTCAACACAAGAGGTCACCAGCACCAGGGTCAACACAAGAGGACACCAGCACCAGGGTCAACACAAGAGGTCACTAGCACCAGGGTCAACACAAGAGGTCACCAGCACCAGGGTCAACACAAGAGGTCACCAGCACCAGGGGTCAACACAAGAGGTCACTAGCACCAGGGTCAACACAAGAGGACACTAGCACCAGGGTCAACACAAGAGGTCACCAGCACCAGGGTCAACACAAGAGGTCACCAGCACCAGGGGTCAACACAAGAGGTCACCAGCACCAGGGGTCAACACAAGAGGTCACCAGGGCACCAGGGTCAACACAAGAGGACACCATAACACCAGGGTCAACACAAGAGGTCACCAGCACCAGGGTCAACACAAGAGGTCACCAACACCAGGGTCAACACAAGAGGTCACTAGCACCAGGGTCAACACAAGAGGTCAACACCAGGGGTCAACACCAGAGGTCACTAGCACCAGGGTCAACACAAGAGGTCAACACCAGGGTCAACACCAGAGGTCACCAACACCAGGGGTCAACACAAGAGGACACAACACCAGGGTCAACACAAGAGGACACCAGCACCAGGGTCAACACAAGAGGTCACCAGCACCAGGGTCAACACAAGAGGACACCAGCACCAGGGTCAACACAAGAGGACACTAGCACCAGGGTCAACACAAGAGGACACCATCACCAGGGTCAACACAAGAGGTCACTAGCACCAGGGGTCAACACAAGAGGACACTAGCACCAGGGTCAACACAAGAGGACACTAGCACCAAGGTCAACACAAGAGGTCACTAGCACCAAGGTCAACTCAAGAGGTCACTAGCACCAGGGTCAACACAAGAGGACACTAGCACCAAGGTCAACACAAGAGGTCACTAGCACCAAGGTCAACACAAGAGGTCACTAGCACCAAGGTCAACACAAGAGGACACCAGCACCAGGGTCAATAACACATGAACAATGTTATATAATGTTATATAATCAGACAGATGCTCATAGACCGGAGCGCTGTGGCGCCTGACAGAGCGCTCGACGCGCCAGACTGTGCCTACCAGAAACGTGTTTTAGGGAACCATTTACGAAACCTTTATATCTTTCTCAGTGATCGTGTTAGTGAGGTCTGGACTACGCCCATGTTTATAACAATAATAACCTCGCTTTAGAAGCTCATCAACTGTTTAATAAACGTAAACAAAGCCGCCATGATTGAGGAAAGGTGTACAGGTTTGGTAAAGGGTTGTGCTAGTCCTTTATATTCTAACTTAATATTAACTCATAGGTGTTTGGGAAGTCTATCCACCTATCCCTCTATCCCAACCCAAACCTCTATCACAATCCCGCCTCTACCCCACCCCGACCTTGATGCCTAGCCCCACCTCTAGCCACTACCCATATTTAGGAGTGTTAGGAAACGAGGATTATCGTCCCCATCCGGGCTAGTGCGAAAGCCTTATCAGTAGTGCGGTGTCCACGCTCCTGGCTGCACGCTCTCCTCAACGCTCCAGGTTATCGTACCAGTGTGAAGGACAAGCAGAAGTCAAAGATACGAAGATAAAGGCTTATTAGAAAATTTAAGAACGCGAGGCTTCTCAAGATGGCGAGGCTACAGATGTGCTTGGTAGTACTGTGGTGTTTATCAGTGGTTCAAGGTACGTGGTTGTCTTGTGTGCTGAAGTGGTGTACAAGTACAGGTGGTGTGTGTACTCACCTAGTTGTGCTTGTGGGGGTTGAGCTCTGGCTCTTTGGGCCCACCTCTCAACTGTCAATCAATCAACTAATATTTTTTCCCCAGACACACACACATGAAGCAGGCTGTAGCAGCTATCTAACTCCCAGATAGCTATTTACTGCTAGGTGAACAGGCGCATCAGGGGTAAAAGAAATTCTGTTCATTTGTTCCCGACTCCGCCGGGGATCGAATGTCGGACCCTACGACTTCGAATCCCAAGCGCTGTTCACTCAAATGTCAGGCCCCCTACTGTGTGTCTGTGGTGGTGGTGGTGTCCCGTCTCGTGGTGTCCCGTCTTCCCAGTACTCTTTGTGGTATAACACTTTGAAACTACTGACGGTTTTGGCCTCCACCACCTTCTCACTTGTTCCACCTTCTCCACTTGTTCTTCATATCCCATCCCTCGTAACTCTGGGACAAGCCTCGTCGCAAACCTCTGAACCTTCTCCAGTTTCTTTATGTGTTTCTTCAGGTGGGGGCTCCATGATGGCGCGGCATACTCTAAGACGGGTCTCACGTAGGCAGTGTAAAGCGCCCTAAAAGCCTCCTCATTTAGGTTTCTGAATGAAGTTCTAATTTTCGCCAGTGTAGAGTACGCTGCTGTCGTTATCCTATTTATATGTGCCTCAGGAGTTAGATTAGGTGTCACATCCACTCCCAGGTCTCTTTCTCGAATCGTTACAGGTAGGCTGTTCCCCTTCATTGTGTACTGTCCCTTTGGTCTCCTGTCACCTGATCCCATTTCCATAACTTTACATTTACTGGTGTTAAACTCCAGTAGCCATTTCCCTGACCATCTCTGCAGCCTGTTTAAGTCTTCTTGGAGGATCCTACAATCCTCGTCTGTCACAACTCTTCTCATTAATTTTGCGTCATCCGCAAACATTGACATGTATGATTCCACTCCTGTAAACATATCATTTACGTAAATTAGAAAGAGGATTGGTCCCAGCACCGATCCTTGAGGTACTCCACTTGTTACTGTTCGCCTGTCCGACTTCTCGCCCCTTACCATTACCCTCTGGCTCCTTCCTGTTAGGTAGTTCTTCACCCATACTAGGGTCTTTCCGCTTACTCCTGCCTGCCTCTCAAGTTTATATAGCAGTCTCATGTGCGGTACCGTATCAAAGGCCTTTTGGCAGTCAAGAAATATGCAGTCTGCCCAGCCTTCTCTGTCTTGCCTTATCTTTGTTACTTTATCATAGAATTCTAAAAGGTTTGTTAGGCATGATTTCCCTGTCCAGAACCCATGTTGGTGCTTGTTTACAAACCCAATGCTGTCCAGGTGCTCAACAAGTCTTAGCCTAATTATTCTTTCAAGTATTTTGCAGGGGATGCTTGTCAGTGATACGGGTCTGTAGTTAAGTGCCTCCTCCCTATCACCTTTTTTGAAAATCGGTACGACATTTGCCTCCTTCCAGCAACTGGGCAATTCTCCCGACATAAGTGACTCATTAAAGATCATTGCCAGAGGCACGCTGAGAGTCTGCGCTGCCTCTTTAAGTATCCACGGTGATACTTTGTCTGGTCCAACAGCTTTATTTGCATCCAGTGTTGTCAACTGTTTCATTACATCCTCTGCTGTCACCTCTATATCTGATAGTCTTTCATCTTGGGTAATGTTTACAAAAGAAAACTTTCTAATGTTTTTTTCGGCACCTCTGTTTTCTTAACTTGAAACCGTGTTCTCTTGTTCGTGATGTTGCTGGTTTCAGAATTCCTCCTTGTCAATTTGGTCGACAAGGAGGAATTCCACTTGCTTGCGGGTGGAATTATAACACGTACAATAGAATACGTACAATACATGGCACGTACAATAGAATTTTGTATGTAGTGATCATATCACCTCTTTCCTTGTATCTTCTAGTTTAGGCATGCTTAACGCATGTAGTCTCTCCTCCTAACTCGTAATTTTCACAATTCATGTAATTAATTGCAAGTGTGAAGTTGGAATGCGACGCATACGCTCCTCTCACAATGTTCTTTATGTGTTCCTCTGGCGACAGCTTACTATCCTCGACCACCTCTACGTTTCGTTATTTATTAGAGTTGTGCATTTCATTTCCACATAATTTGGAAGCTGTGTGTGGTCTATTTTCTCCGAATCCACATTCCATAACACGACATTTACCCCCATTGAATTCCATTTGCCACTTGACGCTCCAAGCACTTATTTTATCTAGGTCAATTTGAAGGGCATTACAATCGTCTGCGTCTCCTGTCTTCCCCAGTATCTTAGCATCAGCCACAAACATGTTCATATAATTCTGTATTCCTTCTGGTAGATGGTTTATGAAGACGATGAACATTACTGGTGCAAGAACTGAGCCCTGTGGTACTCCACTAGTAACACTCCTCCAGTCAGATACATTGTCTCTGATTACTGCCCGCATCTGTCTGTCTGTTAGAAAGATTTTCATCCATGTCAGAAGTCTCCCTGTCACCCCCTCCTGTGTGTGTGTGTGTGTGTGTGTGTGTGTACTCACCTAGTTGTGTTTGCGGGGGTTGAGCTCTGGCTCTTTGGTCCCGCCTCTCAACCGTCAATCAACTGATGTACAGATTCCTGAGCCTACTGGGTTCTGTCATATCTACATTTGAAACTGTGTATGGAGTCAGCCTCCACCACATCACAGGATTTTGTAGGTTGTGATCATGTCCCCCCTTACTCTTCTGTCTTCCAGTGTCGTAAGGTGCATTTCCCGCAGCCTTTCCTCATAACTCATGCTTCTTAGTTCCGGGACTAGTCTAGTAGCATACCTTTGGACTTTTTCCAGCTTCGTCTTATGCTTGACAAGATACGGGCTCCATGCTGGGGCCGCATACTCCAGGATTGGTCTTACATATGTGGTGTACAAGATTCTGAATGATTCCTTACACAGGTTCCTGAACGCCGTTCTGATGTTAGCCAGCCTCGCATATGCCGCTGACGTTATTCTCTTTATGTGGGCTTCAGGAGACAGGTTTGGTGTGATATCAACTCCTAGATCTTTCTCTCTGCCCGTTTCATTAAGTACTTCATCTCCTATTCTGTATCCTGTGCCTGGCCTCCTGTTTCCACTGTGTGTGAGTGTGTGTGTGTGTGTGTGTGTGTGTGTGTGTGTGTGTGTGTGTGTGTGTGTGTGTGTGTGTGTGTGTGTGTGTGTATACGTACGTGTTTCCGATATCATGCTCTAGAGCCCCGGGGCCAGATTCACGAAGCAGTTACGCAAGTACTTACGAACGTGTACATCTTTCCTCAATCTTTGACGGCTTTGGTTACATTTATTAAACAGTTTACAAACATGAAAACTTCCCAATCAACTGTTGTTATTGTTATTGACAGCCTCCTGGTGCTTCGGAGCCAATTACCTGTTTAATAATTGTAAACAAAGCCGCCAAAGATTGAGAAAAGATGTACAGATTCGTAAGTACTTGCGTCACTGCTTCGTGAATCTGGCCCCTGATTTTTAGCTTAGTACCTGGTGCTTTTTCACTCTTCAAGGCTCCAACGTTGTGTGGTACTTGCTCTTGAAATTAAGAATAGAGGTGGCTTCCAGTACTTCTTCTCCTAACATGTACTAATGGTCTGCCACCTCCACTGAATATCAATCTTTCTTTACGTTTTTCTGACATTTAGGCTACCAATTTCCACCCATGTCCTTTCGTTTTTAGTTCATCTGCTAAAGATAATATATCCAATCGACCAATTCCTATCAGTATCCTATACGCTGTGATCATGTCCCCTCTGTGTCTTATTCTACTGTGATTTGATTGAGATCACTAAATATATCTTCAAAACTAAACTATCTTCGGTGTTAGTTTCTTAGAACCTGAGTTAGGAGTTAGGGTCTTCTAGTTATTCTCCCGAGTCTCTTGAACCACAGACCACAGATAGTTATAATGTTCTGAATGTGTTCTTGCGTAGGGCTTAAATTATCATTCTTGCGTAGGGCTTAAATTATCATTCTTGCGTAGGGCTTAAATTATCATTCTTGCGTAGGGCTTAAATTATCATTCTTGCGTAGGGCTTAAATTATCATTCTTGCGTAGGGCTTAAATTATCATTCTTGCGTAGGGCTTAAATTATCATTCTTTCGTAGGGCTTAAACTATCATTCTTGCGTAGGGCTTAAATTATCATTCTTGCGTAGGGCTTAAATTATCATTCTTATAAGTATGTGTGTACTCAGTTGTTCACCTGGAGACACGTTTACACGGTTGAACTATAGACCCTAAGCTCCACCTTTCACAGCTTCCTGTTATTCTATACAGTGACTCATTCCTTATGTTTGTCGTAATATTTTCTTTCGAAGCTGCGTGGGAATTCGCCTCTACGATATCATCCCGTTGCATTTTTTAGTTGCAACACTTACGCTGAAGGTGTTGGTCTAACATCTCTCAAGTTTATTGGTGTTCCGTGTCTCATCGCTCCTGTAAATCTATGGTTTTTCTTATTGAACCTGTTGTAAACTTTGGTTGTCCATTGAGGAGACATCCTGAACCCTTCGAAGATGGAGATGCACCTCGATCCTCTCCCAGAATTCGAGGATGCATCCGGAGCACACCCTGCCCCTCCAGAGGTTAAGGGGGAACCCTGAGCATCTGCTAGAGGTTGGGGACACATCTTGATCATCTACCGCAGGTTGGGACACATACCGACCACCAACCAGAGGCTCTGGATACATCGTGAGCCCCTGTCAAAGGTTGGGGACGCATCTTTCTACTTTCTTAGAGTTTGAGGACACAACCTGAGCACCTGCTAGAATAGTACACATTGAGCTCCTCCCAGAGGATGGAGAAACATTCTGAGCCCCTTCCAAAAGTTGAGGACACATCTAAAGCTCTCTCCCAGAGGTGGGGACATCCTGCCCCCCCCTAGCTCCCTCTCCCAGAGGCCGGGGACATCCTGCCCCCCTAGCTCCCTCTCCCAGAGGTGGGGACA